AATAAAGTGATTTTCTTCCAAAAAAAAAAAAAAAAAAAAAAATCCATGTGTCCACAGTGACACTCCACAAAAGAGAGAATAAATGAAAAAGGAAAAAAGCAGAGGTAGATTTTTTTGTATAGAAGGATGCTGGCTAATAAGTATAGAAGGAATGATAGTAATTGAAAAACATTATTTTATAATCCCCAGCATAATTAAGGCAAGGATCACTGATAGGTCATTATTAAATGGTTATTTGGAAACAGGGTATCAAATTATCACTCCATTAAATATTTATTAGTTTCAAAGAGGAAATGTACCTTTGGAATCAAAATATTTGGCAATCACAATCTTAATTAAGTGGTTGTCATAGCCTTTTTTTTTTTTTTTTTTTTTTGAGATAGGGTCTTGCTGTGTTGCCCATGCTGATGTGCAGTGGTGCAATCATAGCTTACTGTAGGCTTGAACTCCTGGCCTCAAGTAATCTTCTGCCTCAGCCTGCTAAAGTGCTGGGATTGAAGGTATGAGCCACCACACCCAGCACATCGTGTGTCTTTAGATATGATACAGTAGGAGGTATACACTACGTGGTGTTTTGCTAGAAATGTCTGACTTGAATCTAATGATAAATAGTCACACAAAAATACAGACTATGGGACAGTCTACAGGATAACTGGCCACTATTTAAGGATTTAATATTATGAGGAGCAAAAGGTAATAGTATTGTTTAAATTGAAGGAGACTACAGGCATATAACAGTCAGATGAAATCCATTAAATCTGGACTTTTAAAAAAACGTATATACCCAGAAGCCGCTGAGCTCTTTGCTGGTCGTTGCACGTCTAAAGGCTGAGCCGCCCCATAGCTAGGATGCCATGTGGAAGCCGAAGCTGCACCTCCTGCCTGGCCCCTCCGGCCAGCTGGGCCCCTCAAATGAGAACTGTGCCCAGGCCAGCACCAGCTGCGCAGCCACCAGCAGCGGCACCCTCATCTGCCGCTGGCTCTCCTGCTGCTGCACCCCGGCAACCAGGTCTGCTGGCCCAGATGGCAACCACTGCAGCTGGCGTGGCTGTGGGCTCTGCTATGGGGCATACCCGGGCCACGCCATTATTGGGGGCTTCAGGGGAGGAAGTAATCCTGACTCTGCGAGGCCTGACATCACTTACCAGGAGCCTCAGGGAACCCAGCTGGCACAGCAGCAGCAGCCTTGCTTCTGTGAGATCAAACAGTTTTTGGAGTGTGCCCAGAACCAGTGTGACATCAAGCTCTGTGAGGGTTTCAGTGAGGTGCTGAAACAGTGCCGACTTGCAAACGGGTGGCCGAATCAAGAAGTTCAACCTGGAGAAATGGAAAACCAGCTCTCATAACCAAGTTAATTTAATATAAAAATTTAATTAATAGTGAAGGTGTAATAGTGAAGGTGTAAAGCCATCAGTTAAACCTCTCCTGTCATTCCTAGCTTCCATGCTTCAGAATTAAAATGGAAGGGGGTGTTCCTACTCTGTTGAATTTGGGAGCTGGTCAAATGTTTGTGTGGCCTCCTTAAACTAGCTGTTATGATTTTATTCTTTGTGAGTTAATTAGAATTAAGTGATTTTCTTCCAAAAAAAAAAAAGTATAAACCTTTTTCTTTGACAATTTAGGAAATCTGAGTGTGTAAAGAATGTTGGAAGTTGTGTTGAATTAATGTTTTTTTTTGCCCCCTCAGGTGTGGTAATGATGCTGTGGATATGTAGGAGAATGTCATTGTTTCCTGGGAAATATGCTGAAATATTTATCTTTTTTTTTTTTTTTTGAGACACTGTCTTGCTCTGTCCCCCAGCCTGGAGTGAAGTGGCTTGATCTTAGCTCACTGCAACCTCTGCTTCCTGGGTTCAAGCGATTCTTGCACCTCAGACTCCCAAGTAGCTGGAATTACAGGCACGCACCACCACCCCCGGCTAATTTTTTTATTTTTAGTAGAGACGTGGTTTCACCATGTTGGCCAGGCTGGTCTCGAACTCCTAACTTCAAATCATCTGTCCACCTCAGCCTCCCAAAGTGCTGGGATTACAAGTGTAAGCTACTGTGCCCTGCCAAGATATACTGAAATATTTAGAGGTAAAATATCATGATGCCTACACTCACTTTCGGATGGTTTGTCAAAAAGTAAAAAATATACATAGATAAGAGAGAGAGAGAATGTATCAAGATGTTAATAGTTGATAAATATAGGTGAGAGGTATAACAGTATTCATTTGACTGTTCAACTTTTCTCTGGGTTTGAAATTCTGCAAAATAAACAAGAATATTTTAGAAGATAGAAAATTAGAATAATAATAAAACAGTTTTATGAATTTAGTTGTTCTTAAGAGAAACAACATTTACAAACCACAACAAAAAAATCTTGATAAATTTTACTGTTTTTAAAACTAAAACTTCGGCTGGACGTGGTGGTTCATGCCTATAATCCCAACACTTTGGGAGGCTGAGGCGGGTGGATCACCTGACGTCAGGAGTTCGAGACCAGCCTGACCAATATGGTGAAACCCCGTCTCTACTAAAAATACAAAAATCAGCCAGGCGTGGTGGTGTGCACCTGTAGTGCCAGCTACTCAGGAGGCTGCGACAGGAGAATTGCTTGAACCCAGGAGGCGGAGGTTGCAGTGAGCCAAGATCACGCCACTGCACTCCAACCAGGGCAACAGAGCAAGACTCCATCTCAAAACAAAACAAAGAAACAAAACAAAACAGAACAACAACAACAACAAAAAACCAAAACTTCTATGCTACAAAATATAAAGCAGTAAAAGATAAGCTCGCCTGTAAAAATATATTTACTATATATAACGAACAAAGGATCAGTATCCAGAATATATAAGTAAATTCTATGCAAAGAAAACGGAGGGATGGGACCAAATTACCCAATAGAAAAATTGGTACATGGGCCAGGTGTGGTGGCTCACGCCTGTAATTGAAGCACTTTGGGAGGCCAAGGCAGGAAAATTAGCCAGATGTGGTGGTACATGCCTGTAGTCTCAGCTACTCAGGAGGCCAAGGTGAGAGGATTGCTTGAGCCCAGGAGGTCAAGGCTGCAGTGAATTACTATAATCATACCACTGCACTCCAGCCTGGCCAACAGAGAGAGACCCCAACTCTAAAAAAATAACAGAGAGAGAGAGAGAAAAAGGAAGATTGGTAAAGAATCTGCATAATCAATTTACAAAAGGAAACCCAAATGGCTAATAACACAAGAAAGATGTTTGCTAAATTAAAAATTTTAATTAGGGAAGTAAAAAACAAAACACTAACAATAAAATGTTATAATAAAATTTTAACACATGTTATGAGATTATTAATATAATGTTATAGTAAAATGTGTAAATACATAATACAATTATTGTATTTAAAAGGCTCACATTATCAGACTTTTTTTCTTCCCTTATCTTCTGATAAAACAGGAATTTTTATACACTGCTGGTGGGAGTACACACTGGTTAAAAACATTTTAGGCCAGGTACAGTAGCTTATGCCTGTAATCACAATATTTTGGGAGGGTGAGGCAGGAGGGTCACTTGAGTTTAGGAGTTCAAGACCAGGCTGGGCAACATAGTGAGACCTCATCTCTACTAAAAAGAAAAATAGTTAGCCAGGCATGGTGGTGCACACCTGTATTCCCAGCTAACTTGGGAGGCTGAAGCAGGATGATTGCTTGAGCTTAGAAGTTGAAACTCTCTACTGGACTCCAGCCTAGGTAACAGAGTGAAACCCTGTCTCAAAAAAAAAAAAAAATTAGAAATTAATTCCTTAACAGTAATCTAGGAGATACATATATCTTATGACTCGGCAATTATATCTCTAGATAGTTTCATTTCCTACTGTTCTCTCTGTTCCTCATGATGCTTCGGCCACATTGCCTTCCTTGTGGTTCCTTGATCCTTTCAAGCAAGTGCCCATCTTGGGGCTTTTTCATTCACTGTTCTCTCCACTAATCTTGATTCTTTACTTTCTTCAGAACTCTGCTCAAGTGTCACCTTTTCGGAAAAGCCTTTACTGACCCACCCTATTTTAAAGATTACTCCCTTCATTTTCTATGCCTTTAACTTGCTTTATGTATTTGATATATATTAATTTACTTTCTGTCTTCCACTCTTCCTGATGCTAGATTGGATCATTGTTTTCAATTCTTAAAAAAAATTGTTTTTTAATTGAGATGAGGTCTTGCTTTATTGCCCAGGCTGGTCTTGAACTTCTGAGCTAAAGCAACCCTCCAAGCTCAGTTTACCAAAATGCTGGGATTATAGGAGTGAGCCACCGCACCTGGCCCATTGTTCTCTACTCTTGACTGCCCCAGTCTAATATTAGATTATCCAGCCATGCCCTTTACCATGTGACTTTGCAAAGCCTCCCACTATAGTTGATGGAATATATTTCTCTGCTCCCTTGATGTTAGGCATAGCATGGCATGCTTTGGCTAATGGAACGTAAGCAGAAGGGACTGTGAAAATCCTGAGTTGAGACCTTAAAAGGCATTATGTATTTCTACCTACCTCTCTTGTACTTCTGTCACCCACTGTGGGAGGAATGTATCTCAGGTAGGCAACTTGTCATAGAATGATGAAGACATGTGAAGCAGACACAAACTTGATCAAAGATTGGAGTCCAGCTTTGCCCAGCCAAACGTAGACAAATCCAGCCAAGATCAGCCAAACTTTGTCTGATCTGCAGACCTGTGAGTGAGAAAAATAAATGTCTGTTATTGTATGCTACTGAGAACATTTGAAGTATTTATTGTGCAGCATTGTTGCAGCAATGCAGCTGACTAACATATACTCCCCTGGAATGTAAACTTCAGGACAGAGGTGTTTTACAGTTTTGTTCACTGATGTGTGCTCAATGAGTTGAACAATGTCTAGTATGCATGGGTGTTTAACAAATATTTGTTGAACAAACTAATTAATGCATTTGTGCTAAAGCCATAAAACTACTTATAATCCCAAAGAGCAAGGCAAGGGTTCAAGTGTGCAAAGAAACAGATATAATTGGCTCTGTGATAAATGTAGTCAGAGTTGGCACCAATGTATAGTGAATGCCCCCTGCTATCAAATGAACAAGCAGCTTAAACTGGCAATAGATACATATAAAACCAAAGAATAATTGATAAGAGGATCAGAAATAGAAGGTTCCACAATAAAATAGATATTTACTCAAATACTACTGTTGGAAATAGATGCTCAGTGCTGCAAAGAGAAATTTGCACTGAGACAAAGGATCTTTAGACAATGCAGTTTTTACTTCCTGGGCCGCAGGAAGGGTACTCTCACTAGCCATCTTGCCATGAGAGTACAATGAATAAAGGAAAACAGACAAATTTATCCCTTACGCATTTGGGGTTGTCCTTACTGCTGTGTCTGATCTCCATTGGCTGGAGTCGGACCTCACATTCTAAACTAAAACCTGATTGACTAACAACTTAAAGCTTTTTTAAAACAGATAAAAGCAATGGAGAGCTGAGACATGCCTGTGAGCAGGTGCAGCACAGATATCTTCGTTAAAGTACAAGGACATAGAGTGTATTATGTGCCTGCAAGCATGGCATGTCTAACAGCTGCATAGGATAGGGCCTAACAAAGTTATTAGCACACTTATTCTTTAACAAGAAAGGAAACTTTAAAAAGGAACTTTTCTACTTCCCACAATTATCATCATCTCTGAATTGGAGACTATTTTCAAAAATAGATGGGGCATCCGCCCAGTGTCCCACAGAATAAAGGAAATGGCTATTGTCATCCTTGAGCTGGCTAGTGGCAAACACAGAAGTCAAGGAGGCCTTATAAAAGAGCCCAACATACACAGATAAATCAGGGGAGCAAATGTTAAAGCATAAGGGAAAAAGTGATTTCAGGTAAAGAGTATAAGGTGTTTTTGAACTACCGTAACTTTTTTATTAAGTATGAAATTATTTCCTGATTTTTTGTAACAAGTAAGAAATGGTGGCTGGATGTGGTGGCTCACAATTATAATCTCAGCACTTTGGAAGGCTGAAGTGGATGGATCACCTGAGGTCAGGAGTTCGAGACCAGCCTGGCCAACATGGCAAAACCCCATCTCTACTAAAAATACAAAAATTAGCCAGGCATGGTGGAGCACACCTGTAATCCCAGCTACTCCAGAGGCTGAGACAGGAGAATCGCTTGAACCTGGGAGGCAGAGGCAGCAGTGAGCTGAGATCACGTCACGCCACTGCATTCCAGTCTGGGTGACAGAGCAAGATTCCGTCTCAAAAAAAAAAAAAAAAGGTTTGTTCCAGTATTTCCAGAAAGAAACCAAATATGACTAATCCTAAACATGACAACTTTTGTGGTCTTGATTACTTAGGTAGCAATTGCCTAGTTTTTGTGTGGTGGGACAATGGTACATATATTGCCAGAATAACCATAGGCAGATTGCTTCCCACCAGAATGATCTTCTCCTGTCTGCTGTTTGTACATTCTTTCTTTCTTTTTTTTTTTTTTTTGAGACAGAGTCTCGCACTGTCGCCTAGGCTGTAGTGCAGTGGCATGATCGCGGCTCACTTGGCTTGACTACAGGTGTTTGCCACCACACCAGCTAATTTTTTTGTATTTTTAGTAGAGACGGGGTTTCACCATGTTGGCCATGATGGTCTCGATCTCCTGACCCCATGATTTGCCTGTCTTGGCCTCCCGAAGTGCTGGGATTACAGGCATAGGCCACTGCACCTGGCCCTGTATGTTCTTTACACTGTCCTTTGACATACTGGAGGTATGTTAAGGAACTATCAGACTGTTTCTTTTGGAAGTTTATCATCTCCCTTAGGTGTAGTGATTAAGAACCACTACAGTTTTGAGCAAGTAGTAGCTTCTGCCTCTTCAGTTGGATGTCCAATGTCCAGAAGTCAATTCTAGACAAAGATTCAAGTACATGTAGGTTATTTGAAAGGTACAAATGGAATGGTGTGGGGAGTTGATGCCCCAACTGGCATCAATGCTTCTTCCTTTTCATACTTTCATCTCCATCTCAGGATGTTAAGTCAAACATAAGGTGGGAAAGAGGAGAGGGGAAGTGAGGAAAGTGAAAAAGGGAAATAAGGCAACCAATAAAGGATGCATTATCAAGCTTGCTGCCACTATGGTCAATAAGAGCTTAATCCTGCAGAGATAATGGGAGCAACATAAAATCCATGCTTCAGAGTTATACCTCCCACACACAGGGGCAGGGATCTGCTTGAGGGCTACTCAGAGCCAGATATTAATTCCCTAGAACATCTGGGCCAGCTTAGGGAGAGAATCCTTTCCTGGCTCCAGCGAAAGTCCTTAGGTAAACAGGTGCAGATGTTGGCTACTGGAAGTCTGCCAGAAAACACGCAAGTGTTAAGGCCCACAGAATATAGGTAGAGAACTGAAAGCATCTACTACCGGGTCTAAGAAGGTCTATAGGACACTCACTGGCGAGCAAAGGACCTAACTAGCACTAGAGCCCAGACAGGCACCTCAAATTAAAGATGCTATACAGTGCTCTTGACAAATAGACATCATCTACCTTAGTTGAAACTAGAATGCTACTACTTAGGACATTGACATTCCATCTGGAACTACTTTATTACATAAAGATTCATCCTGTTTTCTACCACATTATACAATACCTGGCCCCAAATACTCCTTTTTCTCATATTGTGTTCAGTCTTGTCAATCTGAAATGAAGAACAAGAGTGTGAAATGGAAGAAAGTATTGATCCTGGCTGGGCACGGTGGCTCACGCCTGTAATCTCAGCACTTTCCGAGGGTGAGGGGGGTGGATCACTTGAGGCCAGGAGTTCAAGACCAGCCTGGCCATTATGGTGAAGTGCCATCTCTAATAAAAATACAAAATTAGCCAAATGGTGGTGCATGCCTGTAATCCCAGCTACTCGGAAGGCTGAGGTGGGAGAATTGCTTGAACAGGGAGGCGGAGGCTGCAGTGGGCCAAGACTGCACCACTGCACTCCAGCCTGGGTGACAAAGGGAGACTCTGTCTCAAAAAAAAGGAAAGTATTGATGCCATTTAGAGCATTAAGTTCAGCTTCCATCAATGATATACTGGGAAAGAGATGAGCCAGAACAATGAGAAACCGCCTCCTACCTAAATAACCACTAAGAAAATCCTACTAGGCAAGTCTAGGAAAACTTTGCTGCTTCATACAAGGAGGTGGGAGCTAGTCTCATTCTTGGATCATTGATACTGATCTACCAGTCTATATACAATGTCCACATCATGTTTACCACTCAGAAATACTGAATAATTGAATGAAGCTAAATAGGTGACCAAAACCTAGATCTTGTAGGACTTTACCAATTTATTCCAACAGGTTAGGATTTTACTTTACATCAACAGGGAGTAATGAGAATATTTTAAGCAACAGAGAGACATAATCGGATTTGCTTTTAGAGGCCTTAATCTTGGTAACTTGGTGAAGAATAAACTGAAGGAGAGCAAGCCTGGTAGCAGAAAGACCAGGTAAAAAGGCTACAGAAATCCAGGACAGACACAGCAAAGAGATGGTTTAAGGAAGTGGAAACAGACATACAGGGTGGGTTTGAAAACTTTAAAAAGTTAGAACTGGCAAGACACGTTGTGATTGAGTGGTGGGAATTAAGAAAAGGAGTGGGTGCAGGATGGAGAGAAAGAAGATTATTACATTTCTTAAAGACATCTTGGGTATGATGTGTCAGTAAGAAATCTGGCTTCAGTAGGCAGTTTGCTAAGGGCATTTGGAACTCAGCAGAGATCTGGGCGAGAGAGGGATCTGACCAGATCTGGCAAATGAGACATTGTACTGATGTCGTGTGTTCTGACTCCTGCTGGTGCTGTCCCCTGGGGTGGGGGAGGGACAGGAAGGGGAGTTAGGGCAGAGCAGATTAGGTTCTATGACAGAAGAGCCATGAGCAAGAAGCAAGGATGCAAAGCAGAGAAGAAAACGCCATGATATTCCACAGTTCTTACAATGCCAGCACAATAAATGAACCAATATACAGGGCAAGGAAGCCTTGGGGGTCTGAGTAGTGCGGGGTCCTTTTAGAGGAAGCAGCTTAAATGTCAAGGTGGGAGAGGCAAAGACTACTCCTATTTATTATTATTTTTTTAATTGGAGGAGGATGGGTGAAAAAGAAATCTAAAAAAAAAAAAAAAAGAGTTAATATTAAAAAATAGAAACCTGTGGGAGGCTCTGGTGCACAGGAGAAAAAGACCCTGAAGCGTGAAGAGAGAACAGAGTTCCCTCCCTTGTAGGATTCAGGACTTATCTTTCTGTTAGTGGAGATGGAGATGCTTGAGATGAGATTCCTCTCATGATGTCTTTCTCCCTTCTCCACCATAGTCAATTTTTTCCTACCACATGGCCCAGTCTATGGTATGGCACCCCACTAGCAAGAGCACCTGGAGCTCCTGGAGAAGGCCCGAAGCTACATTCGCATGTTCTGTGCCAGCCTCTCAGGTTTCATCTTTGTCCTGCTGCTCTGCTTGTCCTCCTTGCACTGGGTGGAGCTTTTGGTGTCTGAAGACAGGAAGAAGCTCTTGGTGGGGCTCTGGACCATGTGCCACCATCATCTTTGCTGGAACCACACACCAAAGGTGCCCTGTGGGTGCCTTCCAAGTCCTAAAGCCCTTCCTTTGGAAAATCCACAGCTTACCTCTCTTCCTTTCTACTTCCCATAGCCCTGCCCATTCTTTTCTC